GCGAGCCTCCCCTGGCGCTGCGGGTCGTGTGCGACCGGGTCGCGGGCGGCCCCTCTCGCCGCGGCTCTCTGGTGGAGGGGCGGCGCGGCAGCGGTGGTGGTGGGCGCCCCCGTCCAGTCGGGCCCTTGCGGCTGGACAGCGGAGCTCGGCGCGGGAAGACCTCCCTGATGGCCTCCCATGGCTGCGGCGGCGGCATATCTGCCATCTCATCCGTCTTCCTCGACATCGGGTGGCGGTGGCTGCTCTCCGGCGGGTCCGGACCTTCGGCTTTGGGGGCGAAACAGGGGGTTTCGGGGGGAAGGCTGGTAGGGGGATGTGCGTCTTTGGCCATTGGCCGTTCCCCCACCTCCCCCTTCCCTCGGGCAGCGTCATGTCGCGGTTCGTCTCGAGGCAGCGCCCGCCGGCGACTCCAGGAGGCGGTTGGGGGAGTGGATCTGGTCAAAGTCGTGTCCTTTGGGAGTTCTCGCGGTGGTCTGGTGGCAGGGCGGCGGCCCTGGCGGTGGGAGACGCGGCGGTCGTGGACGGACTGCGCGGCTCGGATGCGGGCGGGCATCTATGGCCGCTCGGGTGGCATAGCTGCGGGTGGCTGTCGGACCGGGGAGGCGACGGAAGAGTTGAAGCACCGGAGTACATCACTTGCCCAGTACGCGCTCTGGCCGACGATGATGGCGTCCGCGGACGTCGTGTTCCTCCCTGTAGGCTTCGTCGTGGTGCTCCTTCTCCTTCCTTCTAGCTCCGGGTGAAAGCTTGATCTTCGGATCGGACGGTGGCGACATTCCGTGGTCGTACCCCTTCTTGGAGGCATCGTCTTGGAGCCCTCGGTCCGGCGTGGTCCATCACACTTCTTCCCGGTTCATCAAGCATCCTGTGGGTGCGTGGTAGTCGTTGAGGGTGTGTGTCGGTGCCCGGCATCCTTGTATCTCGTCTTGGGTGTGTGTGGTGTGCGTTTGTATCGATGGCTTGGTTGTGGATGTTGGTTGCTTTATAATCTAAAGCGGGGGAAACCCTTTTTCGGAAAGAAGGTTCGAAATACATGTACAGAAACGTTGGATGCTTAAGAATAAACATTTCGAAGCATGGTTCTATATTGCGGTAAAGTACCTGAACTGAAGAAATATAGATCAGATTAGGAAGCATGGATATCTCGAAGCACCAATTTCATGTTATTTCAATAAAAGAATGGAAGCATAAAAACTGGAAGTAGAAATTGGCAATGCTTACTGCCAACATATGCATGCGCATCATTTTGTGATTTGCAAACCAATTCCATCCAAACTGATTGGTTCTATTTTTTATGCACACATAAAAACAAGGCAGAACAAGATAAAAGCATGGAATCAATTAGAATAAATTACCATCAATCAATGGTAAAAATGGATTCACCGATCGAGGGGTGGTTGAGATGTCGGGCACACCTACAGCCTCCGTCCAACCTGTGATGTATGATGGAGATGGCTGGCACAAGCACCTACTGTAGTGACGTCGCACCGGCGAGCTCACTGGTGGCTGCATCATGGAGCAGGTCATGCATGGGTTTAGGTTTGGATCTGGGCCGTGTGGTGGATGTTGTGGCCAGCAACGAGGTGGAAAGGAAGCACGATGTGCAGCAGATTGAATCTGGGCCAAGAAATCGAAGAGGATAGAAGCGGCGATGTTGATGGCGAGCTCGAGCGTGCATGCGGGAGAGACGAAGGAGGGGAGCAGGAGAGATGGAACAGACGAGAGAGATAAGGGTTATGCGATCATTCATGCGTGATGTACGAGTGGTTAGCAACAGCCGGGAGGAATTATAGGAACAAGGGTCAGTGCTTAATTTCTCCACCGTGGGATTGAATTGGAACCGATGGACAAGGAGGGGCCTGAAGTTGTCTTTCTACCAGACTACAGATAACAAGTGTTTCCCATTTTAGTCTCCGCACGCCTAATCGCAGCACACTCCGCCTACGCCGCCTCGCCATTACTCGCCACCCAATCTTCACTCGAACCATCTGACGGCCTAGCCTGGGAACCCACAGGGAATGGCGGCGACCGACGACAACAAGGCCGTGGATGCCTTCCTGGCGTCGTGCGCCGAGTCCGGCGACGCCGCGTACGGCGCGGCCAAGGCCGTTCTCGAGCGCCTCCAGGCCCTCGCCTCCCGCGCCGAGGCCCGGCGCCTCCTCGGTTCCGTCCGCCGCCGGCCAGGACTGCTTCCGGACCTTCCACTTCCGCATCCACCACGTCATCCTCGACCCCCACCTCCAAGGTCCCCTATCACACCTTATTTTCCCCGTGGAGCTTTTTACCTTCGCAGATTGCGCGATCTGCTTTTCCAGATATACATAGCGGCCTGTTAAAATTGCTGCCTTCAGTAATTCCATGATAACCTTATTTGGTCTATTATTAGTACTGGTTAATTTTTTTTACTAGCTAACCAGTGCGGCAATGCTCTAATTTTGACTAAGCCACCCATTGAAAAATTATGTGTGCCCTGTGCACCCTACACGGCAGTGACCTCCATCTGATCTTCTGGAATCTGGGTAGCCCTGTGAGTGTTGTGTTCTGGAGCGCCCACCGCATGATACTGTTGACTGCCGTAATTGTTCAAAGATTTGATTTCTCGTGCGTGCCTCGTGTTGAGGAAACCGTTTGTCTCGGTTATTGAGTAATTTAGTTTCACTGTTTGGCTTGTGTATATAACAGGAAACGCCTTTGTTGATCTGTTTGACACATTTGACTCATTATTACTTGATGGATAGGTATTAGGCTTCCACCAGAATTTGTTTCGGCATAATTTGATGTGTCACCTTATGTGATGCTTGCTTTGTTCTACCTTTGTAAACAAAAAAACAGTAGGTTGTTTTTTTTTTCTTTCAAATTGAACCAGAGCTAAGGTGAGCAAGAACCAAGAAGGTGAAGGAAAAATAGCTTTTAGGTCCTGTCATATACACTGAGGATAGTAGTCTATTTGCATTCAAATATGAGATGAGAAAATATCAAGAAAATTATAAAATGATCCATTTAGAAGAGTACATTGATGCCCTCTAGGGATGTAATTAATCTATGGGGACAGTAGGCTTCAATTTGACCACATTATATTGTCTTGTTGCAAACTTGTCATGACACATACTAATTTATTGGCATGTGGAGGTTATTTATCAGAATAATGGACAAAAGGAATTTTGCATGAGGTGAGAACACATGAAGGCATTGATCAAATGATTCATTTAAAACACTATTTTGATGGTCTCTAGGCAGTGCTATTTTTGTGGGAAACATTTTCTGTAACCTTTTCCCTCTTAGGCCGGAAAATCTTTCCAACATATTAGCATAAGAGTAAAAGTCAACAAACCAGCCTGGTGAAGTTATTTGCCATAACAAATAAAATACAATGTATGTACACCATATCTTTAGTTCATATTATTTATAGAAATAGCATTTATACTGGAACAGCAGTAATTTTCAAGATTCTTACATTATCTGAAGTCATGACTTCTCTGTCACTATTTGTGTGTATAAAGTACAAACTGCTGCCTATAGTTGGTGTAATGCTAAAAGCTTTCCAAACCACTAATACACAATTTTTTTTCTTGTTCTCTTATTTAGGTAAACTTTGCCCTATTTTAGTATCTATCATTTGGTTTTCATTGTGTGACAAGTTTATCAACTGCTTCTAGGATCCCGGCAAACAAAGGAACTAACGATGATGGAGATACCTAGCATTTTCAGTCCTGAGGATTGGTCCTTCACTTTCTATGAGGGCCTCAGTCGGCATCCAGATTCCATTTTCAGGGATAAGACAGTAGCAGAGCTGGGATGTGGGAATGGTTGGATATCCATTGCGCTTGCAGGAAAGTGGCTACCTTTGAAGGTTAACTTGTCTTCTCTTGTTCTGTGGATATTTTATTTTATCATCGTTGTTACAGAAGTGGGAGCTGCAGCAATTAGATGCGTAACCAGGTTACATGATGTATAACACCTTTCAGACTTTTTGGTAATCCACTGATAGTCTAACTTGCTTGGTAGCTCTCAGGAAACAATATCCACGAGCATGTTGCTCCCAAGTACTGAACATAGCTCTGGTCAAATACCATATATTTGTTCCAACCATGGTGAACAGTCTTGTCCTTTGAAAAGGAAAAAAAATGCACCGTAGTAATTTGAGACGCACATATCTGTATATCAAATTTGTGGGCACTCAAATCGACATTATGGTAATAGTCCAGCCTATGGTATTTGTCAGAATCCAAACTGAGCATTGTTTGTTTCTTTGTAGGTCTACGGTCTGGATATAAATCCAAGAGCTATCAAGATTGCATGGATAAACCTTTACTTGAATGCGTTTGATGACGATGGTCACCCAATCTATGATGGGGAGGGGAAAACGTTGCTTGTTAGAGTTGAGTTCTACGAATCCGATCTTCTGTCTTACTGTAGAGACAACAAGCTAGAACTAGATCGAATTATTGGATGCGTACCACAGGTATGATCGGTTGCTACCATATTTGGTGAAAGAATTGCAGTACACCCGATGTGAATGAAAATGCGTAACTCCTCAAATCTACTTTTCAGATTCTTAACCCCAATCCAGAGGCAATGTCAAGGATTATAACTGAAAATTCAAGTGAGGAGTTCTTGTACTCTTTGAGCAACTACTGTGCTCTTCAGGTAAGTCGAGAAACATCTTCAACGCGTTTATATCACTTAAATGAAAATGTGTTCTCATGAATTAGACTTAAGCCATTCACTTTACCTGCTGTGAACCTTCATTCATAACGGGATAACTACCATACTGGAGATATTCAGGCGGCGTGGGTGCAAGGATTGGGTAGACATAAGTTCAGACTATAGAGAATAGATTGATTGTTCTTGCTTGTCTCAAACATATATACATACCATCCTTAAATAGGAAACGCTTGGACTCTTTACCTGTCCTAATACTATTGGACCTATTAGACCTTGTAGAACACTCTGGCTCTGCTTGGTAACTCTGTCATTTCCACCTCTAACAGTGTACAGGGGTGTTCTACCATGCACAAGAAAACCCAGCGAATGGAAACACATCTGTATAAGTGCTATTTGGACAGTATCCTTCTCACTCTTGGCCCCAAATATTCGCTGTTGTCTCACCTTGCTGCCATCGCCAGCAAGGCCGGCTTCCATGGCAGTTTCGTCCTGGTCACTGATAGGGAGCCATGGCCGCATTGGGCTTGCACTGGCCGTTACACACTGATATGAGGTTGCCATTGCTCCGATCTAGTGGCTCTACTGGACTTTGATGGTGGTCGCAGGCTCCTAGTCTGCAGCCATCCTTGCAGAGGAGCTCGATTGGTAATGCTAGCGACCCTGTGTAGCGCATGGTGTTGGTGCTGCTGTCCCGTGCGTGGAGTTTGAGCCATGAAGGGGCTGTTGGGCTAAGTCCCTCCACATGGAGGTGTGTTGGCAGCCCAACATCAGCCTACACAAGTCCAACACATATGAACCGTTAATCTGTTCTGCATCCAACGGTTGTGAGTGTTTCCTGGTGAAGGGAGCAAGGAGAAAACCCTAGCCACCCCACCCCTGCTGGTGGTGGCTGCTATTCGTGAGAGTGAGAGAGAGAGCACAAAAGAAAAAACACAACCTGAGAGAGAGGAAGAAGAGGAAGCAGAGGTACTGTCCAGATTTGTTGCATCTGACTAGACAGTGTTCAAGCTGGTGATTGGAGGCTCAAACGTGCTTGGATCGACCCCAAACTTGGTGAGCTTGTTCCTTACTTTGAGTACTTCGATTTGGTTAGCTGGTTTGAGGATTGGGTCAGTGGAGCATCAGATTTGAGAGTGGTTTTGTTAGCTCTGACTACTGCAGTTTCAGAACAGAGTAGTTTTGGGAGACGAACAGTTTGGGTAGGCAAACAATGTTCGATTGAGCTGAAATTTGGAGGGGATCTCAGGAACTCGTGTGTCTACTTGTCTGCCAAATTTGGTGTTGTTTGGTTCAGCGGTTTAAGAGCAGTTTGCAAAACACTGGAGGGTACAGAAGCTGTGTAAACTCTGCTTTGTTGAAATCTTACTTCTTGTGGTTGCTGTTGCTATTGCCGGTTGGCAACGTGGGGAGTGTGTTGTAAATCTCTCTAGAGGTTCTAGAGAAGACTTTGTACTCATCATTCTCATAGTGAAGTTGTGTGGACCGGTCGGTCCGCAGTCGTGTTTTTTTTTACTCCTCAAGTTGAGGAGGTTTTTCCACGTTAAATCCTGTGTCACATGTGCATATTGTTTGTGTTATTCCGCTGCTTACTTGTTGGTTGAATCTGTCCTCAAAGTTCATCACAAGTGAAGGGGGCTGTGTAGTGTGCATATTTATCGTGTCGGTGAATTTGTGCAGTGCAATGTTGCTGTCCAGCCCCAACAAGTGGTATCAGAGCCTTGGTTTGCTTGTGCGAACTGCTGAGTTTCTTGTGGTGAAAGATGGAAGTGAATACCAGCAGGATGATATCTTTGAATGGTACAAATTGTCAAGCATGGAAGGGCAAGATGGAGGACTTATTGTATGTGAAAGAATACTGGAAGCCAGTGTTCTCCACTGAGATGCCGGAGGGCATTGAGGAAGGTCAATGGAAGGTACTTCATCGCCAAGCTTGTGGGTTTATTTGGCAATGAGTCGATGACAATGTTTTGAACCATATCATTCATGAGACACATGCACGCACCTTATGGCAGAAATTGGAAGAGTTGTTTGCCCGGAAAGAAGGTACAAACAAGATGTTCTTGATCAAACAATTGATGTGCTTGAGGTACAAAGAGGGCACTCTAATTGCAGATCATGTGAATACATTCCAAGGCATTATAAATCAGCTTTCTTCAATGGGAATAATATTTGAAGATGAAGTGAGAACTTTGCTGCTATTAGGCTCATTACCGGACTGCTGGGAGACCTTTAAGGTCACGGTTTGCAATTCAGCACCAAATGGAGTTGTCACTTGGAATCTTGTGAAAACCAGGGTACTAAATGAAGAGTCCAGGAAGGTGGCTGAAGCTAGTTCTTCTTCACATTCAGAGGTGTTGGTCACTCAGTTCAGGGGGAGAAGCAAGAGCAGAGGTCCAGGTAAAGGGGCAGAAAGAGGTAGGAGCAAATCAAAAAGTAAGTATGCTGATTATGAGTGCCATCACTGCCATCAGAAGGGCCACATTAAGTGGCAATGTGACAAGTGGAAGAAAGACAAAAAGAAAAAGAAGAAACAAGATCAGAAGCAAGTTGACAGTGATAGTGACACAGAGGGCAACCGAGTTACTGCAGTAGAAGAGGACATCATGCTTGTTATGCATGAAGAAAATGAGGGCAGATTTGGTTCCACTGTTGAGGAGAGGATCACTGTTGTTTCTGATGAATCCGTCAACCTTGTGGATGGTGACGAGATGATTTGGATACCGGACAGCGGTGCTACCATTCATGCTACATCTCGCAGAGAGCTCTTCACTAACTATATATCAGGTGATTTTGGTGTTGTGAAGATGGGGAACAATGATAGAGCAGCCATCATTGAAAAAGGAGATGTGCATTTGGAGACCGTAAATGGTACAAGGTTAGTCCTCAAATCTGTGAGGCATGTTGAGGCAGTTCGTCTCAATATTATCTCGGTTGGTTTGCTTGATGGAGATGATTACTTGAGCAGTTTTGGAAAAGGGCAGTACAAGCTCACCAAAGGCAACATGATTGTTGCAAGAGGTAAAATGGTCTCAGTTTTGTATCATGTTCATGCTAAGCTCTTTAGTGCTTCTATCAATGCACTAGAGAAGGATGATCATTGTGCTTTATGGCACAAGAGACTTGGGCACATGAGTGAGAAGGGGATGACAGTGCTAGTGAAGAAAAAATTGTTGAAGGGTGTGAAAGGAGTTCACATCAAGAAATGTTCAGATTGTCTAGCTGGGAAGCAACACCGAGTTGCCTTCAATACTCTACCTCCTCACAAGAAGCCCGAGAAGCTGGACTTGATACATTCCGATGTTTGCAAAATGTCGGTAAGATCTCTTGGTGGTGCTAAGGACTTTTATTGATGACTTTTACAGGAAACTTTGGGCCTTCACTTTGAGGACCAAAGATCAAGTACTAGGTGTATTCAAGCAATTCCAAGCCTCGGTTGAGAGAGAAACTGAGAAGAAGATCAAGTGCATTCGCACTGATAATGGAGGAGAGTACATTGGGCCATTTGATGCATATTGCAAGCAGCAAGGTATTAGGCGTCAATTTACTCCCTCAAAGACACCACAGCTGAATGGTCTTGCTGAGAGGATGAACAGGACAATTGTGGAGAGAGTTAGATGCTTGTTGTCAAGTGCAAAGCTACGTAAACACTTTTGGGGTGAGGTTTTGATGACTGCAGTTTATCTTATTAATCTCTCACCAAGTTATCCTTTACAGGGAGATGTTCCTAACAGGGTTTGGTGTGACAAGGACGTCTCATATGACCACCTAAAGGTTTTTGGGTGCAAGGCCTTTGTTCATATTCCTTAAGATGAAAGGTCAAAGCTTGATTCGAAGACACGGCAGTGTATCTTTCTTGGTTATGGTGGTGATGAGTTTGGCTACAAGCTGTTTGACCCTATAGCAAGGAAAGTTGTGAGAAGCCGTGATGTTGTGTTTGTTGAAGACCAAACAATTGAGGATATTGTGAAGACAAAGGGGCAGGTTCCTCCTCAGCAGCAGCAAGATATGATTGATTCTGACCCAGTTCCTGCAGCTCCAGCTCCTGTGCAAGTTGAAGCAGATGCAGAAGATGTACATGGTGATGTACATGGTGGTGCAGGTGAAGAAGAAGCTCCCCAACAGCAGCAACAAGAGTATGATGCTGAAGTTGATGATCCAGATCAGCAGGAAGCACCAGCACCAGAAAGTCCACCAGCTGCTCCACTCAGAAGATCCAACAGGGGTCGAATTCCTTCCATCAGGTATCCCTCAGATCAATACGTGGTGTTATCAGCTGACGGTTCAGAACCTGAATGCTTTGCAGATGCAATGGAAGATGAGCACAAGGAGTGGAAAAAGGCTACGCAAGAAGAGATGGATTCCTTGCATAAGAATCATACTTATGAGTTGGTGAAGTTGCCCAAGGGCAAGAAAATTTTGAAGAACAAGTGGGTCTACAGAATCAAGCAAGAAGAGCACACATCACATCCAAGGTACAAAGCCAGGCTAGTTGTAAAAGGATTCGGCCAGAGGAAAGGCATTGATTATGATGAGATCTTTTCTCTGATTGTGAAGATGACATCCATAAGAGTAATCCTTGGCATGGCAGCAAGTCTCAACTTGGAGGTTGAGCAAATGGATGTGAAGACTGCATTCCTTCATGGTGAGTTGGAGGAAGAAATATACCTGGAGCAACCTGAGGGGTTTCTTGTGAAAGGCAAAGAAGACTATGTGTGCAAGCTGAAGAAAAGTCTCTGTGGCCTGAAACAAGCACCAAGACAATGGTACATGAAGTTTGAAACTGTCATGGGGGAGCAAGGCTACAAGAAGTGTAGCTCAGACCATTGTGTGTTTATTCAGAGGTTCTCAGGTGATGATTGCATCATATTATTGCTCTATGTTGATGATATCCTGATTGTTGGCAAGAATGTCTCTAGGATTGCTAAGTTGAAGAAGGAGTTGAGCAAATGTTTTGCTATGAAAGACTTAGGTCCAGCAAAGAA